TATTATTATTGAGAGACAGGCTCACTGTCTGTTCCTCAGGCTGGGACAGGAGATCACACACTGTATTATTATTTTTGAGAGACAGGCTTGCTGTCTGTTCTTCAGGCTGGGACAGGAGATCACACACTGTATTATTATTATTGAGAGACAGGCTTGCTGTCTCTTCCTCAGGCTGGGACAGGAGATCACACACTGTATTATTATTATTATTATTATTATTATTGAGAGACAGGCTCACTGTCTGTGTCTCAAGCTGGGACAGGAGATCGCAAACTGTGCTGCAGTTATACAGAGTCTCCTCCCACATTAGGGTTGGAAGCTGTTTTCATTCTGGCAGGAGTGGGAATTTTGAGATTAGTTTAGATCATTTATTTCAGAGAGGGATGTTTGTCTCATCTGGGAATACTGTATTCCTTGCTGTGAATCAGAAAGTGCATCTCTGTCCCTGTTTCTCCCTGCTGGCAGCTAGACCACAGCCTGTCCTCTCTGGGCAGCCAGGTCTGCCTGTGTCCAGTGTGTGTGTCCAGGCTGTGGTCACTGAGCCTGTCCTCTCTGGGCAGCCAGGTCTGCCTGTGTCCAGTTTCTATGTCTAGGCTGTGGTCACTGAGTCTGTCCTCTCTGGACAGCCAGGTCTGCCTGTGTCCAGTTTCTATGTCCAGGCTGTGGTCACTAAGCCTGGCATCTCTGGACAGCCAGGTCTGCCTGTGTCACAGTTTCTATGTCCAGGCTGTGGTCAGTGAGCCTGTTCTTTGTCCTCAAACTGAGGACAATCTTTCTGACAGAATGGGATTGCTGTGATTATGCCGAAACTGGTACCACACAATGCCAGTGCAGCCAATCGATATGATACTTTTCGATGTATGTAGAAGTGCATTTTGGTACAACACTTTCGGAGGGCTGATTTGAACTGCTCACTGTTTGTAAATTAGTGAGTCCCAGTCATTTTACACAGCGTGATGAGCACCAGCAGTGATGTGGTTAGCAGTACAAGTGAAGTTAAGGAAACCACAGCGAACGAATGTCTGACAAAACTGGTTACCGAGAGAGAAAAGAAACTCATTAGTCATTAGTTACGGCACTAAACTGCCCTGACTCACAAACTCTACTACTCTGCTTTTCTCGTTAACACTACTAACGAGCAGTTCTAGTGAACAGGGCACCTCTTACAGTAAATTGCACCACACCCAACCGAAAAAAAAAGTAGTAGTATTAATGAGGAAACCTTAAAATTAAATAGTGGTGTTCACTAGCAGATGCTTTCATTCAACGTGACTATGATTTAAAATACTTTCATTGATCTGTAGGTTGGATTTTAACAAGCAATCAACAAATATGTCGTTTTGCTTGTTAAAGTCCAATCAAAATTTTGCTTAACATGTTACAACATGATGACACACAATTCCCATCCTGGCATCTTTTCACTGGTTTCCAATGAAAAACTGGACTCAGCTTAAGGACTTGTTTCACAGCTCCAGTGCTGAACAACAGCTTCATAGGTCGAATTTTTCTTTTGAAAGCTATTTCTATATTGTTCTTTTCAGTAAATGCGTCAGCCTGTCATTCTCTCATTTCAAACAGTCAGGAAGAGGCTGCTATTGTATTAAAAGTCACAGGATGGATTTGTCACCAAGAGTCATGCTGACCTTTCACCCCAGGAAGTGCATGTGAGCTTGGGACAGGCTCGGAAATCACCTTCAAGTTCAAGACCAGTTCAAGCCAGCTACTCATCCCAGCAGTTGTGTGGTGAACTCATCCCAGAGACCACGACAGCTGCAGAGTTGCTTTACATCAGAGTGACCTCTTACTTATGAGAAGGTTATCACATGTTTGCAAGGTAAAAACAAGAAAAAAACAGCAGCCACATCACCCTGCTGCTCACCACTGGCAGCCCACTGGAGCTCAGCAGTGTGAGCCTGGTCAGTACCTGGATGGGGGACTTCTGGGAAAACTAAGGCTGCTGCTGGAAGAGGTGTTAGTGGGGCCAGCAGGGGGCACTCACCCAGCTATCTGTGTGTGTCCTAATGCCCCAGTATAGTGATGGGACACTATACTGTCAAAATGTGCTTTCCTTTTGGTGAGACGTAAAACCAAGGTCTTGACTTTAATGGTCATTAAAAATCCCAGGGTGTCGACAAGCTGTTAAACATCGATACAGTATTTTTGTGCTCCTGGGCATGTTTTTGTAGGAGTCATTAATAATCACAGACGCAGCTCTGTTTTTCATGCACTTTGAAAGCCGGGTGCTAACAGTAGCCACACCTGTGGTTGGACTGTCAAAGAATTTTGCTGAGTGTTAAAACTGCATTGCGGGGATCGTACAGGTGACTCAGAATGGTATCTGCATTAATTATGCACGGCCCCTAGCGCGTGTTACTTTCAGATAGCGCAACATGTGCATTTCTGAAATTAGTAACGCAGAGGCAAAAGTCATGATTCCTTTTTATATCTCTCTCTTTACAGTAGAGTAATTTAAATGCAGCTATCTTTAAAGAGAGAGAGAGAGCACTTTATTAGCCCTATACAATTTCTTGCATAAGGAATTTGTCTTTTCGCAGACCCCAGCTTGCTCTCCATGAGACACACAGACAGGGAGAGAGAAGCTGGGGGTCAGAGTGCAGGAGCAGCCATTGTACAGCACCCCTGGGGCAGTTGGGGTTAAGGGCCTTGCTCAGGGGCCCAACAGAGTAGGATTCCTCTGCAAGCCGCGGGATTTGAACCAGCAACCTTCCAGCCACAGATCCTTAGCCACAGTGCCTCCACTCCGCCCCAGTAGATACACAGGACAGTGATTGCTCCAGTCCAGTGATCTTAAGGTAGAACAGTAACTCAGAGCTAAACTCTAGTCCACTCCAGTGAACTTATGTTAGTACAGTAACTCAGAGCTAAACTCTAGTCCGGTCCAGTGATCTTACGTCACTACAGTAACTCAGAGCTAAACTCTAGTCCAGTCTGGTGATCTTACGTTAGTACAGTAACTCAGAGCTAAACTGTAGTCCAGTCCAGTGATCTTAAGATAATACAGTTGTGCATGCAGGAACTCTAGTCCAGTGATCTTCAGATAGTACAGTTACTCAGTGCAGTAACTCTGCACTGTACTCCACAGTAATATTGATTCATCCTTGCCCCACAGCAAAGTGATTCTGATTTTAATCACGTGTTTGTGTGCTAATTGTGTTGTGCAGGATGTGGCACAGGAAGTGTTTGTCACAGGATATTGCCTGCTGGCACGGCTGAACTGACTTCAGCCGAAACAGAGAGGAGACTGAATGAGACAGAGAGAGCTACAGATGTTCTGGTGCGCCATCATGGTCTGGCAAGAAAGTGCCCTTCTTCAAACACCTCTCAGTTAAATTAACAAAACTGAGACGGGGCAGGGGAAATTGGCAACTTCTCAGAGGAAAAAAAACAACTAATATAGAGAGACAGAAATAGAATATTAGAAAGTCGTGAGTTCAGAAACCAGATGGTGTTCTTCTCAATATTATAATTGAGAGGTGCTCCACCTGCTATATCATGCTTAACAATAAGATCAATTGATCACTTGATAAAGTGTTAATAGCCCACTAGTGGACACATGTAGTATGACAACTATGGCAAAATGAGTTCCATCAATGTTTACTGCTCTTACTTCACTCATGTGTAATCAACGGGATATATATATATACATAGATCTTCTTGATCGTGCAGCTCTGATCTGTGCCTGCCTCCTGCTTTCAGTGTTGAAAGCACTCGCCTGTAGTTCCCACTTGTGTCAACTGGTTTGTGTTTCTCTGTCAATTCTGGTCTTTTGGGGTGACTTTGTCAGGGCCCTGCGGTTTTTCGTAATGCCTGAATCGAGGTCTCTCGACGTGACCGGGACTGAAAAGGCTCGGTTTATTTAGCCTTGCAGTGCGCTGTAGGACTCGCCTTTGATACCAGAATTAATTTAAGAATTCTTGAAGAATTTAAGAATAATTAAAGACCCCTCATCACAGGTCCTCTGAGAAATCTAAATAAAACATTTCCTCTGCATCCACTACTGCTACAACTCATTCAAAGGGCTCAAAATGTTTA